GACAGAAAAACGATTTATGACGTCACATGACCTCAGATGACCTTTCCCGGTGCCCCTGTCAATTAGCGGCACCAGGATCATCACCGATGAGATAATCTTCCATAATACTGAAAGAATTGGGTGGTTTTGACTCGTTTACACGAAGCAGGAGGCGTTTCAATATTTTCCCATAGGCTTGCAATGTAAAGGTCACGAGTCTGGCCTGATCTCAGGTCACAGATATAAAAATTCTGAGATATACCTACAAATTGCACATATTTGTACCATAACTAAAACCTGAAGAGAAGAAATTGATTCGTCAAAAACTCTAGCTCTGGCGTGATTGCAAACTTTTGAAGTGGGTCACCAAACTGCCTCTGGTGACCTGGCCTGACCTGACCCGGCAACTTTTTTTGGTCAAAATGTGCGCAATGAATGTTAAGAAAAAGTCACCGAGTATGAGCTTTCAGTCTTGCGGCGTTTGGCAATGGCACAAGAAAAACCTGAAGGGGGGGGGGGGGCTCCCCGCCCGGAATAGGCTTAAGATTTTCCTCAGTGGCGTAGCCAGGTGGGCCGTGAGGCACGTGCCCCCCCTCCATTAGGTTCGGACCTAGGGTCCCCTCGGGTTATTCGGGCCTGAGGGACCCTGAGGCGCCAATTGGCCGCTACTAGGGTAAATGTTTGCCATATCTGGACAATGAAAGAAGGGATCCACGGAGCTCGTAAAAACCCCTCATGGGCCCACAAGTACCAACACTAAGATCTCCATAGGGCCCCAAGCCAGTCTCTGAGGGCTCCTTGGCGGCCTCTGAGGGCCCCTTACCGGCTTCGGAGGGCTACATGTCGGACTCTGGGGGTCTTAACCCGGCCTATTCCCAGCCAGCAATTGTTTGGTCCTGGCCGTAGCTGGTCCCGCTCTCGTGACCTAACCTGACCTGGCACCCGGTGTTTTTTTTTTGCCAGAATGTAGGTCAGTGACGTACCCAAGGGGGGGGTGGGGGCACGGGGGCCCCTCAGGCCCCAGGATATTTTTTTAAACACTGGATAAAACGTGTTTTACTCGGAAGAAAAATTGATATTAAAGTTTCATTTATGTGCCCTGGGTACCCGAGGGGCCCCTGCAGTCATCCAAGGGCCCCCAGTTTCCTGGGCCCCTGGTCGCCTAGGGGCCTCTGGTAGCCGGGGGCCTGGTCTCATGGGGGCCCCTGATAGCCTGTGGCCCCTAGTCGCCTAGGGGCCCTGGTCGCATGGGGGGCCTCTGGTCGCATGAGGCCCCTGATCGACTGGGGGCCCCTAGTTGCCTAGGGGGCCTTGATAGCCCGGGCCTGGTCGTATGGGCCCCTGATAGTCTGTGGCCCCTAGTCGCCTAGGGGGCCCTAGTCGCATGGGGGCCTCTGGTTGCATGATATTGAGGCCCCTGATCGCCTGGGGGTACCTATATAGTCGCCCAGGGGGTCCCTGGTAGCCGGGGGGCCTGGTCGCATGGAGGCCCCTGGTTGCCTGGGGCCCCCGGTCGCCCCTAGTCGCCTGGGGGACCCTGGTAGCCTGGGATCCCCTGGTCGCCTGGGGGCCCCTGATCGCCTGAGGGCCGCTGGTCACCTAGAGGGCCGCTGGTCACCTAGAGGGCCCCTGGTCGCCTGGGGGCCCCTGGTAGCCGGGGGCCTGGTCGCATGGGGCCCCCTGGTCGCATGGGGGCCCCCTGGTCGCCTGGGGGCCCCTGATCGCTTTGGGGACCTGATCGCATTGGCCCTTGGTCGCCTGGAGGGCCCTGGTCGCCTGGGGCAGTGGGGCCCCTAGTCTTCTGGAGGACCTGGTCGCCTGGGAACCCCTGGTCGACTGGGGGCCCCTGGTCGTCTGAAAGTGCGCTTATCACCTGATTGATCCCAAATCATCTGAGTGGCTACTGGCTACTGGATATAAGTAGTGACTGGAGTAGGCACTCATCTGAAGGAGCCAATATCTTTCACGGTGCCGGAGATATCACAGAAAAACAAAAAGGCTAAACTGAATACCCCCCAACCTTGGCCCCAAACGCGTCATTGGCTAACACAGGGATGTGGGTCGATTTGCAATCGCATTTCCTCCTAAGTCCTATTCCTCCAATTAATACAGAGTGTCCCAGAATTACCCAAACATTTATTTTCTGGTTAAAAGTACAATTGCGCTCGATTCCTAGTGAAACATATAATAGCCGCGTTTACATAGGGCTAGTTGCCAGATAGTGGAATTCCGATAACGAGACATTTATTCCCCACTATTATATTATATACCTACATATCCGGAATTGGATGATGTTCAGTAATTGAGGCGCTCGCTCATAAAATGCCGTGCGTTCCATGCACACTTCTCAAGCAAAAATATTTTTACTTTCCAATTTTCCACATTTTCTCAAGGCTTAGACCGTTACAGAGACCGTTTTAATTGACTTTGATGAAGTTGAACGCGAGAAATCACAACCAAATACTACATTAGGTTGTAAATAACTGAATTGCGTTTTCCCACACACGTGGCGTTTTCTCACCTACGTCTGCAGGAGAGACCGGACCCACTATGCCCCCCCCCCCCCACCATCGAAAGGTTCTTCATGACTCCCGGGGGCCCCTGGGGAACCTGGGGGGCCCTATACACTGTGGGGGGCCCCTTCGAAAGCAGGTGGCCCCCTCCTGGGCGAAATCCTGGGTACGTGCCTGATGTAGGTAGGTACCTATGCAATGAATATTTAGGAAAAAATATCAAATTTCAGCTGAATATCTAAGCAATGGCCAAAAAACTTGAGGGGGCCGAAAAGCCCCAGCCCCCTGCCATTGCCACGAATAAGGTTCATTCAAGGAGTCAGGAGCCTGTTTGATGTTTCCTTTTGTAAGTAAATATTTCATCGCAAAATATTCGGTGACACTGGGAGTGTCGTGAAGTTGAGGCGTTTTCGGAACGTTTAGTGGTTTTCTGAAGAAGTGAAGTGATATATAGGTTCGTGACCTGACCTGAGAACAGTCGTTATCAAAACAAAACGCTTGAATCAATGGCCGAGTACGCCAGGATGCCAATTTCTATCTCCAACACGTTCCGAGCAATCACGACAAAACGTTACAGAGTTGCGCTAACCCCGGAATCCGTTGGCCGGGAAGAAGCCCTTCCCTTCCGTGTTTCCAACATAGGTCTTCTAATGTCACGACGACGACACACAAATCACTGTTAGGCGGCACGGGCGGACATCGATAGCAGCGCCTCTATCGGTCACTAGGGAAAGCTGGGCTGTAGGCGACGAAATACCGGCTGAGTTGTCACACGTTGAATAGGTTTGTAGCCATCCGTCTTGTGAAAAAGTTGAACTTTTGCCTTTAATATTTCTACAGGCAATTTTAGAAGTGTCTTCACATGGATTACAAAACCGTTTAGATTATTGTATTCACTTCAAGCCTTCCCTATTGTTCTTGATGATGCGGGAACTATTTCTAATTAGTGTTTCTAGCTTAGTAAAAGAACATACTGTGCAAACGATGAAAGAAGCATAACTGGAAGATTTTAAATGCAATTTTCTCTAACAATTAATGGTAAATTCTCTACATATCAAGGAAAAGGTGCATGCTAACTGATAATTTAAAGTTCTTGGGGCCAGTTGTTTTCTTCTTTTCTTACGTCGCCCCAATGGCCGCGAATACACTTGTGATAACGCCTATCAACAGTCCCCAATGTACCTAACCTCGCTAATGACTTGTCCCCAGCGTGTCATCTACGAGACCTTCGCGACAACGTGACGCCAGCGTCTGGGCCCCATGCCTTCAGCGTCATGCTGGCTGTGGGCCCTACGTCCCTCGCGCGTCTGCGAGGTCCTCCTCTGGGTAACGTTCCTCGGCCTGGCGACCTTCGAATGGGTGCAGTACCGCAGCGAGCCAACACTGACCATGGTCGAGCTGGAGCCGGCCGAGCTGCCGAGGTTCACCGTCTGCCCCGGCTATCAGAGTAATGGCAGCATGACGAATAAGCCCAGGTCCACGGCGTTACATCACATGTGGTTCATCGTCAACGAAACGGCCTATCACAACACATCTTTCAGAAAAATGTACATTGATTACGGCTTGTCGATTGGCGACATGCTGGGTAGAAGGATTGAGAATGAGAACACAAGTCGCGATAGCACGGGGGACGTTGTCTACCGCACTCCGAAGGGTTTCTGGCTGAGAACGTTTCTAAAGTCAGGCGTATGTTACATGTATCAGCCGCACGGGCGGCAAGACAACAAGGCCTCGCCTTTCCTCGGACCAACAATTCGTCTTCTGGAGCATCCAGAGTTTACCCAAAGGTCAACCAAAAGCTCGTACATGATGAGATTCCACGGCTCGGAGGTGCCTTTCAAGGCTATCAAATTCTTCCACAAAGACATACCCCGGGTGGTGATCCGCGAAACCGAAAACCTCTTAATCACAGTCAGACTGAACAAATACAAGAGTCCCAGCCTGACAAGGAAGCCGTGTAACAAAACTCCCGGCTACAGCTTGAGCGGCTGCCTCAGCCAGTGTTTCTACCAGAAACAGAAGGAGAAGATCGGATGCACCATGCCCTGGATGGACCTGGACGGCAAGGGCTGCACCTTCTACTCCAGGGACTTTGCCATCCCCCCGACCAGCGGCTACCCCGAGGACTGCGGCTGTCTCCCGGCCTGTCTCGAGGACCGCATTGACGTCATCGTCGGCCGGTCGCCGATAGTGAATAGGAAGGGATACACCTACGTCACCATCAAGTTCGAGTACGAGGCCGAGACCCGGATCACCACCCTGTCCTACAGCATGCGCGACCTGGTGGCCAACGTCGGCGGTCACATCGGACTGTTCCTGGGTACGTCCATCCTCTCCCTGCTTCTCAGAGGGTTTGCCGCTCTCCAAGAGCTTCACAGACAGAAACAGTCTCCAGTGATCAACATCCAGAGCGACGGAAAGTGACAGAAAGAAGGCTACGTGCGTCTAACTGCGTGCCTCTAGCCCGGCAGCCTCAAAGCTATCTTTCAGCACACCTTTAAACACACATTTCTCTTTTCCGGTTCGATATATTCTACATAGCCTCGGGCGATCCCCGTCACACGTACCTCAGGACCCGCGCCTTGCTGACCTCTCTCGGCCGGCTCAGCCCCACCCCGCCGACCTGACGCGGCAGACTGGGTGGGCCGCGTCCTGGGCAGGTGCGCAGGGCACCACCGAGGCTAATATATACACACAGTCCGCACACCCGCGGCCAACACCCGCGCAGAGGCTAGGTTCCGGTTAGCGCGGCAAGGTCGGCAAGAGCAGACGAGCAGCTACGCGGCGAATAGAGACGGGGCCAAGCTGGCCTCAAGGATCGACCGAAAACGGTCACACCTTGCCATCTAACGCCATCTGCAAGATTCAAGTCACATGAATCTGCACATCACCGAACATATTCTTCCAGGCGTTTGTCAGGCTACCTTTATGACTAAGATAAAATCTACAAGAGACGCGGCACTGCAGACGGTCCGCCAGCCGGTCTCCCATTAGCGGGCTCTCACCAGATGTTACCCCTGCCCTCGCCGCTCCTGCCTGCCCACCCGAGGGACGGCTCTACTGAGACGCGGCCGCCTGGGAGGCCGCCTGCCGCTCGGCCTGCGCCGCCGCGTGCTGCTGCATACGCTCCTCAATCATCGGTCGGAAGTGTCGGATCAGGCCCTGGACGGGCCAGGCGGCGCCGTCTCCCAGTGCGCAGATGGTGTGCCCCTCGATCTGCTTGGTGAGCTCCCAAAGCATGTCGATCTCCTCCGGACGGCCGTTACCCTCGACGAACCTGGGGACAGGAAGGGGGTGTGAGACGCGGGACGACTGGCGGTCCGAGCAGCGTCGGGGCAGGCGAGCAGCAAGAACGAGGGCCGAGGCAGGAGTCGCTCTCGATGAAACGGGGGACAAGGGGATAGGGATGGAGCGATGCGGCGGTGCGGGAGGTGTGAGCCCTACCTGGCAGGCTTTAATAAACCAGAACGCTGTTGCAAGGAAAGACAGCAGTTTGATGTAAATACAGCATTTATCAGGCCCCAAACTGTGAACGGTTCAGAGTTAACTGAGCGTGCAATTCCTTACCTCATTCGATAAATTAACGCAAAAACAATTTGAACGATTGAAAACACGACACATACAATACAAGTATACGGTATGTTGAAGCCCACGATGCATACCGCCAGGATTTACAGCTACGGTACCATTTCATGAACAAACGATACGCAGTGCTTTCAGTCGGCTACACCAAACACAAATCAAAGTGGATAAATGCATAGCTGCTATACATAGCTAGTTCGGGCAGCGAAAAACGGAGACAAATATGTCAGGCATCAGCAACGTCAGGCGCACGGGCACCTCGCCAAACTGCCGTCGGAGCAGCCTGACAGCGGTTGGCAGAGGGCCACAGAGCCCCTCGAAACACCGACAGCAGACCAGCAGACCTTCGTAACTTTCGTTACATAACAGAGTTTCGAAACAGCCTCTAAACTGAATTGGATCGTTTCGCAATTGGTATCCGACTGATGCTGGAGTGGTTATCATCGCCGCGCGTCTCTCAAGCAATTCCAAAATTTCAACGCGCTTACTCAAACTTGGCAAGAACTTGCAAATATTTCAAAATCAAGCCACGTTCATGGCAAGGTGCTGACCAATTTTATTAGTAACTCATTTATCGAACACTACATACATAGCTGTCCATCCTGCCGGAACCGGCAGTCATTGTCTCCTGCCTAACCAATAATTCAGCATGACCTCCACATGACCGTGCCCAAAGCCCATATTCTGTCCACCCTCACCACCCCTGGACTGACCTCCCCATGACCCCGTCCACCCTCGCTGCCCCTGGACTGACCTCCACATGACCTTGTCCATCCAGCCGGTGCCCTCGCGGCAGGGCGTGCACTGGCCGCACGACTCGTGTTTGTAGAAGGTGATGAGGCGCGCGATGGCCTTGATCAGGTCGGTCTGCTTGTTCATGACGATGACGGCGGCGGTGCCGAGGCCGGTGCCGGCGCTCAGCAGGCCGTCAAAGTCCATCGGCACGTCCGAGCACACACTGCCGGCGGGTGGGGGGTGGGGGAGGGCGGCATTGACCGACGATCCGCCGGAAGGGTCGGGACATTGACCGAACGGTCTGGTGGTTATCTACAATAGCCAAAGGTCTAACGTCAATATTAGGATGGACGCATTCCACCCACACAATATTTCGGCGAGAAGCGCAACGTATTCCCATGCCTCGCGGTATACACCGGCATACTCACTCGAGCGGGATGATGGGGGTGGACGAGCCGCCGGGAATGACCGCCAGCAGGTTGTCCCAGCCGCCGATCACGCCGCCCGCGTGCTGCTCAATCAGCTGCCTGCGGGACGGTAAATGCCGTCATTAGAATTAACCAATCACATCGCCGGCCTGCCGCTCAATCAGCTGTCTGAGGGATGGTAAATGCCGTCATTAGACTGAACAAAGTCAAAGCCTTTAATTATACCCCAACCCTCTACTGTGCCTATGACAACCATGACGAAAAATAAAACACATCACTTCATGATAAGAACGCTGCCGTTGTACTTCAAATGAGGGAACAGCAGCCACACCACAAAATACTTCAGCGGCTTCCATGACCATGAAACCATCACAATGACACATGCTGACAATGATATGACACAATCACCAACATCCCGTAGCGTCACCTACTTGAGTGGCACGGACATCTCCTCCTCGACGGTGCACGGGTTGTTGACATGGCCCGAGATGTTGAACAGCTTGGTGCCCGTGTTACGCGGCCGGCCGAAGCCCGCGAACCAGGTGCCTCCTCGGCGGCAGATGGTCTGACGAACGGGAAATATTTGTGACGTCAAAAGAGTGACGGGATGATGAGGAAGTTATAAAATCAGAGGGTTATGTAACAAAGAGTTGAAAACAGTTATGTAAGTACGCATCAGCTGATCGTATACGTGCGGTATTCGTATGGCTGTGTAACAATATGTGACAAATAGGAATTCGACACACATCACGCAGATCAGATCATTTTTTATACCTATGTGGTGTATAAGGCGCAAACTTGGTCCTGTGACTCGGCTTAGTCACTGGCCGCTTGAAAAACACACTGACAGATCTGACTCACCCGTTTCATAACTAAACCGAGTCAGCGGCACCAATCCAATGACCACAGCCATCAGTCAGCCATGATAGGAGTCTACGGGCACGTCAACAACATTCGCGACAGATTGTCGTTAATCAGCGTAATGGCCGTATGATAATCCGGTAGACAGCTACGCCAGTAAAACCCTCCCCGCCACTGGGAAGACACTCCTGCCCTTCACCTACCGGCGCCACGGCCACCGTCTCCACGTTTGCCACCGTAGTGGGGCAGCCGAACACCCCCACGTCGGCCGGGAAGGGCGGCTTCAGGCGCGGCTTGCCCTGCTTGCCCTCCAGCGACTCGATCAGCGCCGTCTCCTCTCCGCAGATGTAGGCGCCAGCGCCGCGGTGCATGTATACGTCAAAGTCGTACCCCGAGCCGCAGGCGTTCTTGCCCAGCAGGCCCTCCTTGTAGGCCTGGTGGGAAAGGGACACCAATGCATATTTCATTACATAGGTTGATATAGAGTGCTCATCTATCCAAGCAGGTAATAGTCGAGCGCTGCCGTAATTAAACTCCTCATAGAACTATATAAAAAGCCAGCGTGATTCGACAATCCTTATCCATGTGTGCATCCACTATCGGCTGACTTTCGCACCTTATAGTCACAGATGAGAAGCAATGGACAGTTCAACCTCGTAAATACACACATCTTCCATAAACGGTCATTTCAGGAAAGCATAAATCGCAGACGAACGTAGGCAGTTATTCAGGACAGAAATGCCCCCGACCGTCCATGCCATCACCTCCACCCACCTCGTTGATCGCTAGCTGCATGTTGCTGGCCTCGTTGTAGAACTCTCCGCGGATGTAGATGTAGGCGGCGCGTGCGCCCATGGCCCGGCCGGCCACCAGACAGCCCTCCACCAGCTTGTGAGGGTCGTGGCGCATGATCTCGCGGTCCTTGCAGGTGCCCGGCTCGCCCTCGTCGGCGTTGACCACCAGGTACTTGGGCCTGCCATCTGGCGGCTTGCTCATGAAGCTCCACTTCATGCCGGTGGGGAAGCCGGCGCCGCCTCGGCCGCGCAGACCCGACGCCTTGATCTCGCCTGTCGTCGCGGGGAGAGAGAGGGGAAGGGGTTAAATGGGGCAGAAGCTTACGGGAAGGCAAATAAATATTTCAAAAATGCAGATGAAGATGTTTATGGAAAAACAGGTGAAAAAAGCAACTATCAAAAGGTATGCGTAACACCAGATGTAAGGTACACTCGTCACACTCGGTGTGCCGAGATATCAGGAGGCTCGGCCGATACCAAGAACTCAGTCCCAGCTTGCTACTGCCCTCAAGGCCCTGCAGGTTTAACACCGAGCATCCGCCACCCTCCTTCCCCTCCCCTCCCCCGGGCCCCCACCACGGTCTCCGTCGACTGCTGTCACTCCGCTCACCGAGGATCCAGTCGGCTCCCTTGAGCAGGATCTCCTTGGTCTTGTACCAGTCGCCGCGGCTGAGGGCGCCCTTCAGCCGCCAGTCGTGTCGGCCGTACAGGTTGGTGAAAATTCGGTCATCGTCGCTGAGGTTGCCGTGCGCGCGCGGCGTCTCGGTGCCCTGGTGGCGAACCTGCAGCGCGCTCAGCTGCTGCGAGAGGGCTGCCGGGACAGGGCAGAGCGTTACTCACAACTCGGTGGGTTACACAGTGGGCCAGCTAAACTGGAAAGCCCATCCGCCACACATTTAGTCAGCCGACCAGGCCAAGCCATTATGCTACTGCATTACCATAAGAAATGCATTACCATAAGAAAGCAAGATGCCAGAGTGTGTAAATTGTAATGTGTGACTTAATGGGTGTGTCTATCTTATTTTTGTGTGGGTGTGTTAAGAATAATTTAAGCATTCAAGGTTTGTTATGCTAGAACAGCCTACAAGTGGTGTTTTTTTCCTTTAAGGTACATTTTAGTTTTGAAAATACACAATTTTCAGGAAATCATGAGACCTTTGCAAAAAATCTTAAGATTAGAAGGTTGAGGTCAACTTTCAAGTCAATATCAGATCAAAAGCCAAATTTTGGGGTATCTGCATGATGAGGTTTATGTATGGCAGGATCATGGTGTCATAAAGTGTCATGCTAATCAGAAAACAAGGTCAAGGTCAGGTCAGCTGTCAGCTGTCACAAAAGGTCAGTTTGAGACAACAACAAAAAAGAGTTGTAATGTGACTTGAGAGATGGATTTGTGCACTAATTTGATGGAGGTGGTTATTCATCATTGTGATCTTGGGTAAAAATCATGAGAAAAAGGCTAAAATTTGAGATACATGATGCACCTATAATTTTTCAACATGAATATTCAAAGTCTTGAAAAATATACAAATTTTATTTCAAGGCTATTTTTTAAAATTTATGAGTGAAGAAACATTGTTGGAAATTTTTGAGATAACTGGTTTCATGTGACACATTTGTGTCTTTTGACATTTTTAATTTGTGTAATGCTTGTAAACTGAATGCATCATATCCTTACAAGCATTTACCAATTCTGACAAAATCCTGTGTAGCTGCCAGCTGGGTCAGTAAAATGGGCATATCTCAATGATTTTATTGAAATTACATAAGAAATGCATGCAACATGTCAAATGGATGTAGAAGGCATATCATGTTTCACATTGCCAGCTTAAACAGTTCATGAGCTATTGAATAAAACAGAGGGCAAGTCAGATCTGACTACCGAAGCAGTGATTCTGATGGGTCAAGATTATATAACCACATGCTTGTCAAATTTAAAATGCTGACAGTAGGCACTACGACATAGCTTCAACATAAAACCTACTGACTGTCAATTAGCAGTCTGCTCAGTGTTCACTTTAACATATGGTGGTAAGAAATTGAAGCTCCAAATCGCATGTTAAATTACATTTTACCCTGAACATCAACAACCACATATCCAGTACAAAATCACGCCGGTTGAACCAGGAATAGAATATGATCACCTCTTCAGATTCCCACAGCTAGCAAGTTAGACAGACTGGGACAGTCATCAGCCATTAGCATCATAAACTACCGATGCATTTTCATTGAATTATCAAGCAAATGCAAGCCTATTTTGTCCACAAAATAGACAATTTCACTCAGTCGTCACAAGTGAAAATAAACTTACCTGTCACACATCCCCTGGATGTATTTGCCACCCTTGCAAGTGAATTCATTTTTGTAAAGGAACACTGATAAAAATATTTATTTGAGAGTACACAACAGCATAAACACAGATCACGGACTGCCGCTGCCTATTAAATTTGGGAATATTCAGTGTCAGTGATGCGCCATATATGACGACAAAGAACAGGTTTGCAGAAGATTTTCAAAGTATGTGTTCTAAACTCTAACTTGTGAGCGTAACTTCACGAAACAACCAACCAACTTCGAAAATACGCAAAGTCGCACAAATGAACAGCACAGAATCGGAAATGCTCACCTAGCTTTGCTAAGATTGAACATAATAGTCTCTGTATTGAACCCCCAAATCATTACATAACAGCTATTGGCTTCGAAATTACGTAACTGGCCAGTAGCGGCGGAACACCTTCAAATAATGGGGGGAGGGGGAGGGGGCACTGCCGACTTTTGGTCCCATTCTTTCCATGCAACGCCCATAGGGCTAATGTTAAAATGTCAAAATCAAAGGGGGGCACGGTGCCCCGGTGCCCTCCCCGTTCCGCCGCCTATGTAACTGGCACACCATTGATGACATCACCAGTTAGCCGTTTGTAGTACAAATTTGCCGTTTCAGCCCCCATCGACGAGCACATAAAATCTGTTGTGCTTTGCGCCTAGCTGGAGGTCTGTCTGTCTTCTAATGACCTATTAGGGTCCATGGAAATGCGGTGGAGAAGACGCACGTTTCCATCCCCCCGTCCTTTTTTTTTTTGAATTTTGCTCCAGACAGGCCGAGGCCCTGGTCGGGGTAGGGGGAAGTTACTAGCTGGCAATTAGCCAGATCTTCCGTTTTACTTTACTTTAATGCCGGCTATGTTATTCCGGCCCAAGGCAATATCAAGAACAAAGTTTACGTTAGCCCGGCTCATGTGACGTCCGGTGGAAGCAAGTGCAAGGGAAAGCCAGAAAGGGTGCCAGAGTGGCAGTGCCGAGAGGGATTTTGAGTACTTACATTTCTTGCTGCTGAATCTTGATGCTGAAATGCCCCGGTCCCCGAGTACCGGTACACGCCCCAGACGCTGCAGAAAACACTTCGTGTTTCATTTTTGTGCGTATTTTTACCACAATCAGTAAGTACGAGTAAATGCGAAGCACAATTACAACGGGCACACGGATGGGGCGACGCGATCATAAACCGACATCAGAACATCAACAGTCACCGTTTGGAGTGCCAGTGATCTTGGCATTTCACCCTGCTCAATCTGGGTTCACTCGATTCAGAGTTCTAAAGCCCCCGCATACAGTTCACTGACAAAGCTTACTACCACCGCTAGACACACGCTCAACTTCCGACAAAATATCATCACAGAAAGCGACGCAAAAAGATCACTGGTGATATTATGATCATATCGCAAAAACGCTCCTAAAGCGGCACTCAATGCGGAAAAACGCAAAACTCAGGCATGATTCTAGATATTGATTCTTGACTCGAGCAACTCAAAAGGATCCACAGATGTTCTTCGTTGATGACAAAAACACTAGCGGTCATCGGCATGGTCACTAAGCGTTATGATGCGCCGGATTCATTGCAAGCAAACGGAAAAATGAAGCTAAGGTCCTTCACCAGGATCAGTCATATCGTAATGAATGGCATCACTCAAGGAGCATCCATACGACAAGCAACGACTGAAACGAGAAGCTACAGGACGAGGCGACAGCAAGGGAACATCTGGGAGAGCCGGAGCCGACACCACGCCGCATCCAACTGACACGCATCGCTCACGCCGAGAAAGGTCACAATCCGACAAAGATTGCACGACGACAAAGCCTTATTGCCAGAGGCGATCGATTTGCTCTCAACATAATCCGGGTTAACATACCACAAATACGGGAAAGCAGCGTCCACCGCCCGAGGCAACATCGCGTGTGTTACCGGACCACTAGCTCAGTTCGAATCCGCGGGTTCGAATCCCGCCGAAGTCAAGAGTTTTGACCGGGGCACCAACTGATCCCGAGCTTTGCCGATTCCGAGAGGCAAACTGGGTCCATCAGTACCGCGGTAGGCAGCCGGGGAGCGAGGCTTTGTCATTCTGGAAGTCCAGAGCGCGGAAAGTCGCGTCCCAGCGCCACTATGATCCGGGATAGTAAGTTTCGTTCCAGGTTCCTAGCGTGGCGGCGGTCGCTATTTGGGTTTCAGAGTGGCTGAGGTGGGCGTCAGGTTTCAGGTCTTTGCAGATCCAGCCGGCGATGT